GCCACATCAAGGCCCCGACAGCTTCTTCAAGTACTTTACCGTGTATCTCGGCTGTAGAAGATGCATCACAGAATGCCACTGTAGCCACATCCTTAAGAAGAGGCATTTCCACAGTACAGTCCCGACCATCCAACAGAGCAACCAAAGGTCGAGTCTGCGGAGGGCCGTTTGTGGTGCGATGAGCCGACATTCCGAAGATGGAAGTATATCCAAGACCGGAGCTGAGACTCAAAACTGGGGAAAAATAAAGATCCGGCAGCGGGAAGCACTGTGAAAAACACGCACAAAGAAGCCCGCGTCGGCACGGAAGATCGTGTGACGCAGTGGAGTGACAGGCTAACTGATATTTTCATTTTCAAGTGAATTGTGATTGCCGGGGGTCTTTAGCATATATGTTAATGAGGTTTCAACCTGCACCACCCTTATCTTAATGGTTCTGTCGACCGAAAGCGATAGAAAATCGAAGCCACACACGCAATGCGAGGGTAGGTAAATGGACGATTTACGGGCGGCGGTGATAGGCTCAAATGCGCGCGGTGCGCAGCCCAGCGCAGCACACTGCGCAACGCTACGTTAGCTCGTGTACTTAGCCTGTGTTAGTCACCACGCCTGTTTGCTTACATTCCTCCTCCCTACCCTACCCCAGCCCGCGTCAGTTCTTTTAAGATGAACATTCNATCTTGGTGACAAAGCAAGCTTGTTTCAGAATTAGTCTGACCATCACGTCCTCAGGGTTGTGTGCGTATGTGAGGACGTGAGCGCATGTGTATACTTGTGTGGGTTTAACGATAACTCGTCTCGGGTCGACGCATGCCTGTCTAGCTTGCATCGTATTGAGACATACATTCATACACACCTAGACACAAACAAACACGGAGAAAACTATCACAAACAATCCACATGGTCGACCAGCCAACGTACGTCATTTTGGGGTAGAGCAACAACCACACAAACATAATTGGCAGCCTGGGGACATGAGAGAAGAGCTGTCTTTCTCTCTCAACGCTCGCTAGCTCTCAGATCACACCATACTCAGTACCATAGAGAGCCAGCTAGTGAACGAGCACACGATATGTAGATGCGAAGCGAGAGAGGAGGGTGTATGCGCGAGAACGCTAGCGACTGAATAGGAGGATAGTGTGAACACGAAAGTCCAACTCGAATGTGTGTGTGTGCCGTATCATTTGGGCCTTGGCACATTGGCCCAATAATTCGCAAGTACACATTGACGCGCACACATACACACACGTTCGCACACACGCAAACAGGCCCACACCATCTAAACGTTAAAACATAGACGATAGAAAATCCACTCGTGGTGAGACTCGCGTTTGCAGAATGAAACTTTCGGTAGAGGCGATGGCACGATGATGACAGTGGTGGCGGAGGCCGCTATGGTGGCCGAACTCTGTCCATATCCGCTGCCCCACCAACAAGCACATGCATACACACACAGATGGTGAACTTGGTGGTTGTGCCAGAATGTCTACGCATAACATTGCTTAAGGATTGAAAAATTGTAACCCGTGTAAATCAACAGAAACCCAGTGAAGACATGTTTGCCCATACGGATGTAGCAGTGCACACGTATGTGTGCGCGCGTTTGTTCGCGCATGAGTGCGTAATTTTGGATATGTTATTAAGTGGGTTGGTAGACGTAATCAACAATATATTCAGCCCTCAAATTAACTACATCCGGCTTCATCTCAAATTCCACTCGCGGGACATATGGGTTACTAACGCTTCATCACGGTTTCGCATATTTCTTTTCCAAAATGTCGGATTGTTTCGATTGAACAAACACCGCGGGAGCAATTGTTAAGCGAATGTCTAACAGTCGGTCTGACTGTGAGTTAGCTGTTTCACATCGAAAGACAGTATACTCAGTATATTCAGTGTATATGTTCATTACATTTGTCAGGAGTGTGACTAGGTTCCCTGCACGAAAACCAGACTGGATGCATGGATTGGAATTATGGAATTATCACAGACACACTCTCTTATTTGAACTTGTCAGTCACATTTATTGGAATCACACACAATGTCATAAAGAATCCTACTTTTCCGATTCGGCTGAAATTGTATTTCAACCCTTTGGTCTTGCGACACCTCTAATCGCGTAACTGTCCTGTCCGTGTAGCAAGTTATTCGACTAGTTAACGTTGAACCAAAATCATTTACCCATCGCCAGTGATACTGTGTGATACAATATCGAACTGTATACAAAAGAATTGATTACCACTAATGCGATGCACATCTTTGTTTCGATAAACTATTGCCAGTAGTTTACTGAGATAAATAACCCTTTGTTTTACCCAGGAAGAAGCTTGCCCTAACGTTTACAGTCTGTCGGCGTAAACAATAAACAACAATTAAGTCACACTTAAATAACATTTCTCATAAGCTTATTTTATTATCTGTCAGGAAGGTTCCGTAACAGACCGAATTTCATGTGTATGCATGGAATTCAATGTATCCAATCGCTAACCTGAACAGTAATCAGGATAGGCTTTTGATAACCGAGGACGGTTTAATTGACTAACGCTCGCGATGACAGACGTATTCGCACTGGTCCATGGTAGTGGTCTGTTGTGGTAGCGATTATACCTAATCTCTCTCTCTCTCTCTCTCTATGGCGAGAGAAAAGGACGTGATTGTTCTGTCAGTAAGTTACCCTACCGTAAACTCAACATGTAATGCAGTCATTCCGTCGAAGGCAAAAGCGGTCCCAGTTTCGAGAATGAAACGAAGCAATTGACAAATTGCGGGAGAAAGAGATCCCACCCGGTCGAAACAACTCTATACAGTGCTTTCTAGCTTTTCAGTTCACGTTTTGTTTGGCGAAATTCACTATTGAAAATTCAGA